TGAGAGGTGTATTTAAATCCTAAACATTAAACCTTCTTTTATAGGGGGAAAATCCCCCCAACTATTGCTAACCCACCGATGTGGCAAGCTGAAATATTTGACATTTCAACAGCTGGAAATGATGTTAATTAAACTGCAACATTCTTGCAGAAATATTTTGTCGGCTCTTCCAAATCTTACAGCAATCACAGAGGCAAAGTCTGCTGCTATTCGGATCACAGAGATGATTGATAGACAGCAAGCAATTGACACTGAAGATAAGAAGGGGAAAGCATTGTCATATGTAAGAGGAGAGATCGAATTCAGTGGTGTATACTTCAATTACCCCTCAAGGCCTGATACGCCTATCTTGCAAGGCCTGAATCTTAGAATTTCGCCTGGAAAAACTACAGGACTTGTTGGGGGTAGTGGTTCTGGGAAATCGACCATCATCTCATTGCTTCAGAGATTCTACGACCCCATTGAAGGTGATATTTCCTTGGATGGACACAAGATAAAGAAACTCCATCTTAAATGGCTGAGGTCCCAAATGGGTTTGGTTAATCAAGAACCGATCCTCTTTGCAACAACCATAAAAGAGAACATATTATTTGGAAAGGAAGGAGCAACCATGGAAGAAGTGGAGAAGGCAGCTAAAGCTGCAAATGGTCATGACTTTATTATCAAGTTACCAGATGCATATGAAACTCAGGTACCAGAGCCTTGCTCCAACAATTGATCTGCTTTTAACTCTATATAAATCTGCAAATTTGAAGGACAAAATACTTAACCACGACCAAAAGAATCTTAGTGATGGTTATCCTAATAGTGTACCTTGTTTTCTCACCTGTATAAAACAGAAAAGCGCATCCTTACTGAAGTCTTCCTGTGGTCTATCACTCTATCTTATAGTTGAAATTGAACGCTTTAAATATTGCAGGTTGGCCAATTTGGGCTGCAGTTATCTGGAGGACAAAAGCAGCGAATAGCCATAGCGAGAGCTTTGATAAGAGACCCAAAAGTCCTGCTGCTTGATGAAGCTACAAGTGCACTTGATTCACAATCTGAAAGAGTTGTACAAGAAGCCCTCGATCATGCGTCTATGGGAAGAACTGCAATCGTCATAGCTCACCGTTTATCCACCATTAGAATGGCAAATAGGATAGTGGTCCTTCAACAAGGGAGAGTAATAGAGTCTGGGACACACGAAGAGCTTATGCAAATGACTGACGGGGAAGGTGGAGAGTATTACAAAATGGTACAGTTGCAGCAACTAGCCACATTAAATGATGTTGCCAACACCCCTAGCAAAAAGACTGGAGGAAGAAGTAGCTATCGAAAGGGTACTGCTCCACAAAGTCCATTCAACATGATCTCCAGTGCAGCCGCTACACCTGTTATGTACCCGTTTAGCCCAGCATTTTCCCGAAGTAGTGCACCACTCTCAGCTCCTTACTCCGTTCAGTATGAAGAATCCTATGAAAGTGATGATGGCCATTTCACAAAAGAGGCTTATCGAGCACCTTCACAATTGCGTTTACTGAAAATGAATGCTCCTGAATGGGGCAGAGCCTTGCTTGGATGCATAGGAGCGATAGGTTCGGGAGCTGTTCAGCCAATAAATGCCTACTGTGTTGGAGCAGTTATATCTGTTTATTTCCGGCCTGATAAATCTTCCATCCAATCCCACACAAGGGTCTATTCTTTTGTATTCATCGGTCTTGCTGTTTTCAACTTCTTCACAAATCTTCTCCAACACTATAATTTTGCTGTCATGGGAGAAAAGCTAACCAGAAGGATAAGGGAGAAGCTGCTTGATAAACTCATGACCTTTGAGATAGGATGGTTTGATCAAGATGAGAACACTAGTGCAGCCATATGTGCCCGGCTATCAACTGAAGCAAATATGGTTCGTTCCCTTGTGGGAGACCGCATGTCACTGCTAGCTCAAGCATTCTTTGCCGCTACATTTGCTTATACATTAGGACTTTTCCTAACATGGAAGCTGGCCCTAGTGATGATGGCAGCTCAACCCTTGCTCATTGGAAGCTTTTATGCAAGAAGTGTTCTGATGAAAAGTATGTCTGGTAAAGCACAGAAAGCTCAAAGGGAAGGAAGCCAACTAGCAAGTGAAGCTGTTATTAATCATAGAACTATAACTGCTTTCTCATCTCAGAAAAGGATAGTAGGGCTCTTTAAAGCCACATTAGAAGGTCCTAGGAAGGAAAGCATCCGACAATCTTGGTACGCCGGTGTAGGACTGTGTAGCTCTCAATTCCTAGCTGCAGCTTCTACAGCTTTAGCTTACTGGTATGGTGGGAAGCTATTATCACAAGGGGAAATATCCCCTGAGAAACTTTTTCAAGCATTTCTAGCACTGCTTTTCACTGCATATACCATTGCTGAGGCAGGAAGCATGACTAAAGATATATCTAGGGGAAGTAACGCCGTGGGTTCAGTCTTTGCAATTCTCGATAGAAACACCGAGATTAATCCAGATCATTCGTCAGCAATAGATGCAATAAGAACACAAATAACGGGACATGTGGAGCTGAAAAGAGTATTCTTTGCTTACCCATCAAGACCAGACCAGCTGATTTTTAGAGGATTAAGCCTCAAGATAAGTGCAGGAACCACAGTAGCATTAGTTGGACAAAGCGGTTGTGGCAAATCAACTATAACTGGGCTTATTGAAAGATTTTATGATCCAGACAAAGGATCAGTCTATATCGACGATAGGGATATAAAAGACTACAACTTGAGATCGCTGAGGAAAAGTATCGCATTAGTTAGCCAGGAACCAACTCTCTTTGCAGGAACTATCTATGAGAACATTGCCTATGGAAAAGAGAATGCCAAGGAATCTGAGATCAGAAAGGCAGCTGTGCTTGCTAATGCTCATGAGTTTATAAGGTCAGCTATCCATATCATCACAAATTTATTTGAAGTTCTTTCAGCTGCATAACAAATTTCAAATATCAAAGGACATTTGCTAAACAAAGCTATTGTACAAACTATAAACTTATCATTAATTCGCTTACTTTTGTGATCAGTGGGATGAATGATGGATATGAAACTCAATGTGGACAAAGGGGAGTGCAGCTATCAGGAGGTCAGAAACAAAGAATAGCCATTGCCCGAGCAATACTCAAGAACCCAAAAATCATGCTGTTAGATGAAGCAACTAGTGCTCTTGACACTGTATCTGAAAGCGCAGTCCAAGAAGCACTAGAGAAGATGATGGTTGGGCGAACATGCATTGTTGTGGCTCACCGCCTATCCACAATACAGAAAGCTACTTCCATTGCTGTCATCAAGGATGGAATAGTTGCAGAGCAAGGCTCACATTCTGATCTACTTTCTATAGGAAAAAATGGCTCATATTATTCTCTGGTAAAATTGCAAGGGGGAAACTCTCCTTACAGGTAAACTACAAAAAACATGATAGTAGTGTCTCATATTAAGGATCTTGTCTTATGCTACATGTGCCACCATTTTTGTAAATTTGAGATAGGGTACTTTTCCGTTGAATATTTTGATCCCATTTCATGTATTTCTTCCAATAAATGTTACAAAATTATATCATCTGTTGAACAATCTTAATAGCAACTCAAATCTCCTTCCACTTCAATTCTCAAAAACTTCAAATATAGAACGAAGAAAAACGAAATCAAAACTAATTTATATTCAGATGTGTGTCACGTGCAGAATGACAGGGTGAGATCAGCATCATATTCTTTTCCTTTAGGCGAATGGCATCACATTTTGGCTTTCATAGCATCCCCTAAGAATAAACTAATCATACTACTCAGTACGTAATAAAAAAAATTATGATATCCAAGAATAAAGATAATAGGATGTTTGGATGGTTGTTACCTATTATATTGTATCATATTGTTATTTTAAATACAATATTTGTTTTGATTGTTACTTAAATTTTATTATAGCGAATTGTAAAATCCGTCGTTACGTAACGATGAAATGTGCCACTTTATGTAACGACCAATTTGGTGTGGCCGCGTCGTTACCTTGTCTTTTTCTCTCAATCTCACCCTTCATTATTATTAAATAATTTTATTTTATCATTTACCCTACCTTTTTATATACCGTATCATAATCTTTCTTTATAATATTGAAAATTTATTCATCATATTACTGGTGCGTGATACCATGAAGCGACGTCAAAACGACACAATCCATCCAAACATTGTATTCATCGAAAGATACAGTACAATACAATGCAATACGATACATTATGAAACGATATGTAACAACCATCCAAACAAGCTATAAACAAGCCTAATAATTTCTTGCATGTGTCGAATTCACTAATTAGCATTAATTAAAGTTCTTTTCATCTAGAGGAATATGAAAATGGTGAATAACTCTAATAATGAACTATGAAAATGGTCGGCATACAATACCAATTGTGAGCACGTGATTTTTGGCCCACATTAATTACTCTTAAAGAATTAGATTTTTCTTTTAATTGTTTGTCATTTTAGGAATTATTGTAGAATTTTCTTAATTATTTGCATTTTTCTGTGCATGCTTAATTTCATTTAATTCATGAAAATACAAAAAAATACTTTGCATTTGCATTTAGGATTTAATTCTACATTTTTGGGTTAATTAGCAATTTAGTTGTCTTATAAAAATGATTAAAATCACAAAAATAACTCACTTTGCATTTTAACTTTTTAATTTTTGAATTTTATAGTTTTTCTTTTAATTTAGGAGTTATTTAATTTTTGTAAATACTATGACTAATAATTATCTTAATTTGGTAGATTAATTTAGTTTTAATAGTTAATTAGGTTTTAAATTAATTTGGAAAAGAAAGGAAAATTGAAATAAGAAGGTTGTTTTTGGGCCAAATTCGTAGCAGCCCAAATGATTTTCCCCCTGAAAACCATTTAAGATCCGACCCAATCACGCCTTTACCCGGTCCAGTCTTCACAGCTTAACCAAATGACGCCGTTTGGAGTTCAAGGTTTTAATTAAATCCCGGCCTTCCATTTGCTTTCATCCAACGGCCAATACCATTTCCCCTATATTTGCTTATAACTGTCCAAAAGCCCTAAAGACAACTTAAGCCAAACACCCCTCTTCTGTCTCTCTCATCTCCTTCGTCCAAGCCCTAACGCTGTCTCCAAATTCCGTCATTCCCCACCGGTGTTTGACCTCCAAATCCTCCCAAAACTTTACTACACAGTCCCCATAATCCCTCAAACACTAAACCACCGTCAATTTCCCCGAAATCCCCTCCATTTTTCTCAAATTTCAGATCTTAAATAGAACCCTAGATTCATTCCCACCTTTGATTCCTCATGCAAAAGGCTTGGTTTGATTTTCTCCAAAGCGCGGAAGAGATTTCGACCTGAAACAAGTGTTAGATGGTTGTTCTCCCAAGAACAACCCGACTAACACTCATTTTTGGTTCGAGTCGAAACCGCCGGATAGTCCGCTCAAACCCATCGTCTATCTGTCTCTTCCAGGTATTTCAGGTCCTTTGTTTTTTGTTTGAATTTCATTCTCAGATTCGTCTGATTCTTTCCTTTTTCTTTCTTATTTTTCTATTTCTCAAATCATGCCTGTTAATTTTAGATTATTTTTCTTTTAGTCAGCATCGTTTGGTTTCGCTCAAGTTTTTCTTCTATTTTTGCTTTATTTAGAATCTTTGGTTCCAGGAGTTCATATAACTCCGATTGGCCATTTTCTTGGGTTTTCGTTGGTTTCTGGAATCAATTTGGGCTCTGTCAATAGAGGCCCAAAGAGGGGGGGGGGTCAGTCCGGGTTATAAGCCCAGGTTTTGATTTTATTTGTTGGGTCAACTTGACCCATGTTTGGTCTTGAATGTAAATAACAGAAGCCTAAAGGGTAGTTTAGGGGTTTTAGTTTAGGGNGGGGGGGGGGGGGGGGGTCAGTCCGGGTCCTGTAAGCCTAGGCTTTGGGTCTTGGGGTCAACCTGACCCATATTTGGTCTTGAATGTAAATAGCATAAGCCTAAATGGTAGTTCAGGGTTTTTAGTTTAGGGAAATCTTGTATAATTGATTAGGAAGCTACCTGGAAGGTGGGGTTTGGGATTAACTTAGCAAGAAGGCTAAAAATTCAGGGATTTAACTTAAAAAATAAAAATTGGGGAAGGGGCAATTGGAAAACAATAGAATCATTTCTGCTGCCCTAGAGGTCCTCTATAAGAGGTTCGTTTCCCTTCTCTTTCAATTCAGATTTTAGAGAATTACACACTGAAAAACTTAAAAAATGGATGGGCTTCTTTTAAGTTTTAAAGACTGAAAATTGTTCAAAATTTGCTTGGTTCTATTCTTTAAGTTCTCTGTTAGTCAGACCTTTCAAAAGCTCAAAAGAATTTTGTGCATTCTGGTTTCAAAATGGTTTAGAAGAACTAGGTTTTTGCTGTTTTTGATTTGCTGAGCTAAAAGTTGCTACTGTGCTGATTCATTCACCTTCATTTTGCTTTGATTTTTCCAGGTACTTTTTGGATCTTGCTAATATGAGAAGTGTATTTGGAAGCCTTGTAATTGATTTAACTAGTTATAGATGAATATTCACTGAACACTAGCCTATATTTCTTCAAAGATTCACTTGTTTGTTCTTTATTGAAGTAGCCTTAATTTATTGAACTTTTGTGTATTCAGCCATGTTTAGATAGTACATTTGAACTGTATATAAACTATTTCTTAGTCATGTACTTAGTTTGGAATGTTGCAGCATAGGTTATTGTATACGCATAACATTTTCTTTGGAAAAGTTTTGATTGAATTATTTTCAAACTAGTAGGGATAATCAGTCCATAATGAGTTTTCTTAATCCTATTGCACCAAGCAGTAATTATACTCAGTAGAAATTGTTCGAGATTGTTCCTTTAAAATTTGGCTTTAGACGAAAAAATTCAGCTCTAATATTGTAAGTATGAGGACAAATGTGGATGTTTCAATGTTTGATCTTTGAATGAATCTCAGAAGGTGATATTAGTGTGATGAATAACATGTTTAGTAAATTATTTTTAAGATTGACAAGTAGTGTTATAATTTAGATCCTATGGTTAGCATGAAGATAACATTGTTTTAAAAATCGATAACATGACTATTCTTGCAATATGACTTTCAAAGTTCAGTTGGTATTTTGCTATGTGTAGTGTAGTTAGTTGGGCCTTGCCTGGGCCTGACCGTTTGATTTGCTATTACCCTTTCCTAGTGTGAACTCCAAGTGACCTCGCTCAGGCTGTGCAATTGGGTTGTTGTCTTTGGCCCAGTTGCACCTAAGTTATCCCATTATCGATGTTATTTTCAATCTGGGCCTCAGGTTGAGCCCAACTTTGTTCTTGCGCTTGTCCAGGAGCCGGCACGTAACAATTGGACCTACAGCCAGCTCAGACCCCTTTAACAACCAAAGGCCTGGTTTCACTCAATCCTAGTCCACTAATTATTAAACTTAGTTTGAGCATTAGCCTAAAATAAATTTAAATTCCTTTAAGCCTTCCTTAATCAATCAGCCCTTTTGAAATTAGACTTGAGGTGAGCCATGTTAAGCAAGCTATAAATTATGGCCCTCAAAAGATTAGTTCAAACATCCTTTTAAGAAAAATGGACTTGAGGTGTGCCATAAGCAAAATTAGATGACCTATGGCCCTCGGATAATTAATAATAACTCTTTTAAATCGAGGCGTGCTATTATTAAATTTTTCATGGCCCTCATAAATCTTATTATTAATTCGAAATTTCGTAGTTGCTTTAGGCGCGCTATTTAAATTGATTTCCTTTATTTATTAAATTTGGGTGTGCATTTCATGTGACCCAATTTCAATTCAACAACGTTAAATAAAATATGTCGTGGACCGCGGGTGCATTTCATGTGACGTGGTTCAAGGCGTGTTTTAAATAACGTTGAATTTTTCTAAAATAATTAAAAATGGTTAATAAGTTAAAAATGCACCATAGGCTAAAACATGTAATAAATCAGATAATAGGCCAATTATATTAGTTTAAGCAACCGTGCTAGAACCACGGAACTCGGGAATGCCTAACACCTTCTCCCGGGTTAACATAATTCCTTACTTAGAATTTCTGGTTCGCAGACTTCAAAAGGAAAGTCGAATTTCCTCGATCTGGGATTTAAAATAAATCGGTGACTTGGGACACCAATTAAAATATTCTAAGTGGTGACTCTAAAAATTAAACAAATCAATGCCATTTCGAATAATGTCACTTTAATTGGAAAAACTCCCTTATATCCCCCTCGGGTATGTAAAAAGGAGGTGTGATAGCTCTGGCGACTCTGCTGGGGATCCAAACCCAGAACTTTGGTTCAGGGTTTAAGAATTCGAGCTTAGAATAACTGTTATAGTTGGCTTGTTTTATCTGATTTTTACATGTTGAGCCTAATGTGCTAAATGCCTCTTTTCCCGCTTTGATATTGTTTGGACTGTATATAAATTTCTACAAAACCCTCCTCTCTCTGAGTCTTCTAAATCATCTGGGAAGTGTGCACTTCGTGTGACTTCTTTTCTGTTAAGCCTTATCCCAATTTTAGAATGAGGTTCGGACAAGTTGCAAAGCCGGTG